ATGTATTTTATGTTAGAGCACTTGGAAGCTTCCATTCCTAGTACCCTGAAGACAACCCCCAAGACAAACATCAGTTTACACTGTGAGCAGACCACATAAGCATCAGAATCAATTCATCAGTGCCATAGTCAAAAGCTTCTGCCATTGGACCTGGGGTTCCTTATGCTAGGACATACTTTGTTAAGACATGCATTGCCAGGCTACCTGCTATTGGATTTGCAATCTCCCTTAGCGAATCACCTTGAACTTGTGATCCTTTTATTTCTACCTCCTGAGTGCTAGGATTACAGACATGCCCCTTCTTGGTTTATGCGTCACTGGGGATGTTCCCCAAGGTTTCCTGCATGCTAAGCAAGTACTTTACCAGCTGTGCCACATCTCCAGCCTCGGGTTGCACTGTAATCTCTGCTTATCAGTCTCTTGGGAGACATCTGTATCAGGCAGCAGTTAGCCCTGGTTTAAGCTGGAGTAGGCCAGGGAGTATTTGTTGACGAATGAGGACTATGAGATTTGGCAGATCAGAGCATGCACTGTGCCCTCTAGGTTTGCTACCACCTGATGTTGCACATCCAGATGCAGCTGTGTGAGCTCTCCTTGTGGGACTGGATAGCCGAGAGGAACAAGCGGAGCCGGGAATATGTGGATGAAGCCGCCTGTAAGTACCACCTGTACATCTGCCTATTTCAATACGTTTTTAAAACAACTATGCATTTGGTAGTTGAGTTTATCTGTGATAAAGTGTTGGTTGGTGTTTGTGATGATTCTTGTTAATGGTCAACTTGACAGGATCTAGAATTAGCTGGATTTGTTCTGACACACCAGTGAGGGATTGTATAGGTTAGGTTAGTCTTTGGGGGTACCAGTGGGGGATTGTCTTGATTAGATTAACTGAGGTGGGAAGACATGCCCACTGTGGGTGGCACCATCCCTTGAGTTGTGTTTTTGGACTGTATGAAAGGGAGAAAGTGAGCTGGGTGATAATAGTCATTCATTGCTGTCTGGCTGGAGGTTTGTAACCTGTGGCTTCAAGCTCCTGCCATGTTAGCATTCCTGTGATAATGGACTATATATAACCTTGAACTGTGAGCTGTAATAAGCCATTTCTCCCTTGCATTCCTTTGTCAGGGCATTTTATAATGGCAATGGAAAAAGAAACTAAGAAAGTATTTAAATAGAAATATGATAGACTTTAGATCAGTGATTTTGTATAGAATTTTTTGGTATTTATTTCTCTGTGTGTGTGTGCGCGCGCTTTAAATGTACGTGTTTGTGTGAGTGTGTTCATATTTGTATGTGTGTGGAGACCGGAGGCTGGTTTTTAGAGGTTATCTTCCTCAGTCATTCCCCACCTTATTTTTGGGACTTGTGTCTCTTCAGGAACCTAGAGCTTACTAATTTAGCCAGGTTGGAGAGGCCAGTTAGCTCCAGAGTTCTGCCTGTCTCAAACAGTAAGTGTCTTTAGAGACAAGAAAAACTGAGAAATTGCCAGTGGCCAGAGGAATTATGGGAATGATGGTTGGATTGCAAGGGTTGGTGAGATGGTTCATGGGGCTAGGGTCCCCTAAGCCTGACAATCAGTCGAAGCCCTGGGACTCAGGTGGTAGGAAGAGAAAACTGGCTCCGTAAGTTGTCCTCCGACCTTCATGCATACCATACACAAACAAACACCTATATACATATAAATAAAATTTAAAAAGTCAGAGCCCACAACCCTTCCTCCTGTTAGGTTATTAACTTGTTAGGAACTGTCCATATTTTTTTTTAAGGTTTTTGTTTTAGTACAGGGCATCTAAGCTTTTTTTATGTTTTTTTTTTTTTTTTTTGAAGACAGGATTTCTCTGCGTGGCCCTAGCTATCCTAGAACTCACTTTGCAGACCAGGCTGGCTTGGAACTCAGAGATTTTCCTGCCTCTGCCTCCCCACCCCACCTAGTGCTGGGATTAAAGGCGTGCACCACCTTGCCTGACTCAAACTTTTTTTTTTAACTTTTTATTGATTGTGTTTTACATCATGCGTACCAATCCCACTCATCTCCCCATCCCTCCGTCTTTGCAACATCCTCCTCAAAAGAAAATATAAAACAAAAATAAATTATAAAAAAAATCTTACAGAATTTGTAGACTGTCACATTGTGTCCCATACGTCTCTTGTCCAGGTCTCTTTACTTGCAGGTGTTTAGTGCAGTGGGTCATTGGTCTGGTTTGAGGCCCGGCTTCCACACTGTCAATGCTAAATGCTCACCGTGTGGCTATCCTGTTGCTCCCCTGTGTCGTTGCGGTCCTGTAGTTTTGGATCTGGTAGGAACCGGCCCTTAGTGCACTCCGCACAAGGTAGATGTTGGGGTGGGCCAACTCAAAGCCCTGGATCTGGACCCAGGTGTTAGCCGAGTTGGTCAGTCTGCCAGCTCTCCCGCACCACACCACCACGGCAAGCTCTCCAGCGTGCCCTGGCTAGCTCAGCCAATGCCGCAGTCGGCAAGGGGCAGGGGCAGCTCTCCCACCCTCATGCCCTCTGGGCCGGCTCACCTGTACCCTCGCCTCCAGAGCCGGCTCCACTGTGCTGCCCAGTCAAGGTGTGGGGCCACTCTTCTGAGTGCTGCAGTTGATGCGAGTCAGGGCCAGCTTTCATGCTCGTAATCCTGGGCTCAGCTCCCTTGACTGCTGACTGCCGCAGGTGTTGAGGGACGAGGGTGAGGAAGGCAGCGCCTCTGTGTCCACACCACCTCACAGCAGATGAGTGGCACGGCCAGCCCTCCCACACTCACGCCCTGGGATCGGCTCACCCCACCACCAGGACCAGCTCTGCTGTGCTGCCCAGGCAAGGTGCCGGGCCCAGTCTCCCGAGAGCCGCAGCCATTGAGAGGTGGGGCCAGCTCTTTTGGCTCAAACCTTTTGCACTGTAGTATGGCATTGCTCTCTAAAAATGTGTTGGGCTGCATTCATAACTATCCCGGGATGCTTGAAGTCAGTGGGCCTCAGGGTGGATGTGTCATTAGAAACTACTCCACTATCTAAGTTAGCTGCTAAACACTGAGAGATAAATTTGTTCCTCCTGGCTTTTTACTGTATTCTTCACTACTCAAGTTTTTTCTAGCAAATCTGGCAAACGATGGATAGAACTTATTCCTTGTACATAATTTATCTCCTTTACCCTCTTTTGGTCACAATGTCTTAATCAGTGTGGGCTAGGACAGTAGATTAGCCTTAGACTTTAGCATGTTAAGACATAAAGAGGACTGAAGCTGTAATTTAGCCATTATTGCCTGGTAATTGTTTAGAAAGTCAATACAGAGTGGCCACGCCTCGAGCTACCTTTTTGGAAGCACAGTGTCAGTGTTGAGTTTCAGTGATGTTTTTTTCTTTGCTAGCAAAGAATTTTTTCTCCTTGGTTCCATGTTTTAGACCATTCTGGAGTGTTTAACTGCTTAACTATCTAAGGTTAATTTGTTGAGAACTTTTACCATTTAGATGTTAATGTCATTTAATGAGTTCAAAGAAATAGGGACATGAAACCGTTTTTTTTTTTTTTTTTAATTCCAGGTCCCTATGTTATGGCCAGTGTTGCAACAAAAATCTTCCAGGAATTGGTGGAAGGTGTCTTTTACATACACAGCATGGGCATTGTCCACAGAGATCTGAAGGTAAGCCAGACTGCTGAACTTGGGAGCACAGCAGTGGCGTCTCACAGGATGTCGGGATGTGCACTCATGGAGTGCAGTGAGGTGACAGACCCTCATTCGTCTGCGAGAGTTTGTCACTGCTGTCATGTAAATTGTTAGCCCAAAGGTCCAGGACTCCCGGCTGGGAAGATCACTCAGGCAGTAAAGTGCTTGTCATGCCAGCATGAGGACTGGAGTCTGTATCTCCAGACTCTCTGCACAAAGTCAGGTCCAGCAGCATTCGCCTGTAATCTCAGTGCTGGGGAAGCAGAGACAAGAGGATCCTGGGCTTCGCTGGCCATCCAGTCAGGTGGATTGAGGAAGATACCCACTGTCAACTTTTGGCCTCTGTCTACATAAACCATGTACACACATGCACGTGCATACACACGAGAAACAACCTGCCCCCAAAGCTTAAAAAGAAACCCTTGAGATCATTTGAACCTTGTCTTGAATGATGACTATAGTGAGGCATAAGTATACTGCTTGCTAATGTAATTGGTGATGGTAAAAGTACTCAGTGTTGGCAGAAGTGGTCATATGGTTTGGTTAAAATCTGTTTTCAGGGGGGAAAACAATTTTTTTTTTTCTTTTTTCACCTAAAAAAAAGCTGGGCAGTGGTGGCACACAATTTTGGTCCCAGCACTTGGAAAGGAAAGTCAGGTGGATCTCTGAGTTTGAGGCCAGCCTGGTCTACACAGCAAGTTCCAGGACAGCCAAGGCTACACAGCGAAATCCTACTCAAAAACAAAAGAACAACAACAACAACAACAAAAAAAAAAAAAAACTAAAAACAAACCAACCAACCACCTGGCACAAATCTTTTATCCAAGTACCAGAGGCTAAGGCAAGTCCAGAGGTCCCCTCAGGGTTAGGTATTGAGTTATATCTCAAGGACACAAACTAAGATCAAACCCCCAAATCCCTCAAACCAAGCAAAAATGAAAATACAAGTCCAGCAGACAGAAGGATCAGTTAACTTGAGGTTAGCCCACACTACATAGTGAGACCTTGTCTCAGAAAAACAAAATAAACCACCCCACAAAGCAAACAAACAAAAAACTCCATACGGACTATTTTAGTTTTAATTCTTCAAAGACTATCAAAGAAAGATAAAAATATGCTTTCTCTTTTGGCTGACAAATCTTAAAGCAATTAGCATGCTTTTCTGGCCAAAATTAAATCATGAGAAAGGAATCTAAATGACACTTCAGAAGACTATGAGAGTTAATGTGCAGGTCACTTTAATTTTCTGGAGGGATTAAGGATACGCAGGTTTGTGCGTTGTGATGTAAAGTGAAGTTCAGGTGTTTTCTGGTACCTGTCTATCCAGAAAACACGGTTAGAGATGCTGAGGTTCTCCGGCACTGAGGTCGTAGGGTTCTCATTTCAAGAGGTAGGTGAAGTCATAAACGCTGTAGATGGTGTCCCAGAGCTTTGCAGGGAGAAGCTGCTTCAGGTGGAATTTGTGCTTCTCACCGTAAACATTTCTGATGTTTCTCTTACAGATGGCCTCTAGGGTTAAAGGCTTTTTGGATAACTTTATTAGGGTTTCCCTTAAGAGGTGGAATTCTGGCAGCATGATTCCTGCAGGTAGAATCCCTTGTTTATTGCTCAGTCTTAAAGGGTAAGTATGATAAAGTAGCCTGGCCAGTAGCGTTACATCTCTGATGTTGGAACCGCGCTGAAGGTACATATAAATTGGAGACTCCCCATTTCTGGTTAAAATGTTAACGTTTGCCTCAAATTCCAGCAAGAGATTGATTATTACCTCTCTGCCTCCAAAACATGCCTCGTGCAGAGCTGTTTGGCCTTCATGGTCCTGGGCATTGACCTGGGCTCCATGATGTAGCAGCAGACGGATGCAGCCCACCCCTGCTGCCAGCAGCCGGCCGGCTTTGCTTGAGGCGGTACAGACTGCCAGCTTCAGAGCTGTGTTTCCAGTAGATGAGATGGCACAGTTCACATTGGCCCCGCAGGCAATGAGCGTCTCTATCATGTTTTTATTCAGTATGTCTGCAGCCATGTGGAGGGGCGTCATGCTGGATTCATTAATAGCATTGACGTGGGCACCATTTTGAGCCAAAAAGGAGAGAACTGGATAGGTCCCATACGTTATGGCCAGGTGGAGGGCTGAGTGTTTGTTGCTGTTGTCTACCCGGGCGTTAACTTGAGCTCCATGGTCACACAGAATGCGCAGACACATGACAGCATTGTTCTGAATGTCTGTGAGGATCTTTTGGATCCGAGTGCTTGGTTTGGTCCATGTGCTAGAACTGATTGGCCAGTTTAGCAGCATCAGGTGAAGAGTGGTGAGTCCTTGAGTGTCCCTGCAAGGGATTGGTCATGTTAAGGCAGGTGTGCTTCAGGGCGGAACTCTGAGAAGTCAATGCTCAGGAAGGCAACCCTGGCAAGTAGCACCTGCTAGTTTGTGTTCCCTGTCTCTGTCTCTCTGGTGGGAGAGCTTGGGGGGTACAAACTGATTTGTGTGTGTATTCGGGTGCATATGAACGTGCTCATGTGTGCAGACCAGAGGTCAATGGTAACTATTTCTTGATTGCCTTCCACCTTATTTTTGAGAAAGGCCTCGTCTCGTGGCTGAATGTGAAACTCATTCAGCTAGACTGGCCAGCAAGTGAGCTCTGGACTCCTTCCGCCACCCTCGCAGCACTGTGGTTATAACGCGCGTGCCCTCACACCCGGCTCTTACATGGGTGCTGGGGCGGGAACTCCTCTTTGTGTTTGGATGGTAGGTCCTTTGCTGGCTCTCATATCTCCCTCAGCCCCTGCTAGCCATTTTAAAGAAGTACTGGCTGTCTGTATTGCTAAATGTCTTAAGGTTTTTGGGGTCCCTGTTGAGTGAGGCCTAGGTTCTTAGAGAAGGCGTTGCAAGCTCGGTTGTTCCTTCTGGGACTGTGGCCCCTTTCAGGCCTTCTCTTGGTGGTTTCTGTATCCGAAGCATAGGGCGTGGCCCTGGACTAGGTATTCAGTAAAAGTGTGTGGACCTCGGTGTGAGCTATGAATATCCCAGAAGTGAATGCTGAAGGGCCAGAACCCCTCTTCACTCGGGTTCCTGGCTTTCCCGTCCCTCCCTGCCACGTTCACTCACAAGTGTAGGAGAGTAGATGGCAGGACTTGAATCTGCACTTTTCAGAAGTCAGTTAAGCCTGTTCCTCTCCAGGCCCTGCTCCAACCCAGGTGGAGTGAGTTGGCCCTCATCTCAAGATTGCCTCCAAATTGTCTTTGTTGTGGGAAAGGACAGGGAAGGTTTCTCATGAGAATTTGACTGCTTTCCTGGCGCTAGTTCACCCAGACTTATTTGCGTGAGGGCCCAAGGCTGAGGTTTGGAGAAACAGCAGGACATCTCAGCCTTCTGAGGGCTTGCAGTCTGGGATGGAAAGCAGGCAGGTTAAAGGGCTAAATGTAGGCAGTGTTCTGGAAAGGTGCAGAACCTGCCCAGGGACCATGTGTGACTTCAAGGGCAGGAAAGTGCCTTTGCAGGAGCCCCTGAAGAGCTGGAGTAAGTCAGGCCTGGCTTCAACAGGCCATGGAGAGAGTTCGCCAGGCTGGGGTCAGTGGTGCCAGAAGAGGGTCGGGTAGACTGTCTGATTGTACTCGGAAGTTGTGCTATTTTACATAATTGTTTGATTTATCTATTTATTTATCTATTCATTGGGCCATAGTGTGAGAGTGCGAGAAGAGGTGACAATAAGAAAGCCCACCATCTAGCTGCTCTGTTTACTTCTCTCGCTCTTTCCCCTCCCTCTCCCTTTCTCTTTTCATAGTGACAAATTCCTGAGTGCTGTAGTCCAGACTTACTGTGTTTTCTACAGCTGAGCCAGTACTTCATGTATGTTCATCTTGCTGCCTGATTAGTATTGTATTAGTGCCAGTTTTTCAGTCTCTCACCTTGTCAGGAAAGTTTCATCCAAGCATAATCTGTGCTCAGAATGGGACAAGTATCTTATATGAATCAATATCTTTCTCTTTCTCTCTCTCTTTACTTCTGTGTCTGTCTCTCTGTCTCTCTCTCTCACACACACACACCGCCTCACTTCGGCTTGACAACATGCTGAGTTGACTTACCTTACTTCCGGGTCAGCCCCATGCTGTAACAGGCAAAGCAAGCTCTGCGGCTTGCGGTACTCGGCGGCCAGGTGGATGGGGAAGATGGGCTGTGTCTGCGGCAGGGAAAGCACAGTGCGCGCATGCGCGGTTACAGTGCTGCTCGGCGAGGCTCACTCCCAGGGGTTAGCCAGGAGCACCAGCACTAGTCTATCGCTGCTTCAGTTCATGCATTGACATTCTGAAACAGTCTCTCTCTGTAGACCAAACGGGCCTAGAACTCAGAGATCCACCTGCCTCGGCCTCCCAAGGCATGTGCCACCATTCCTGGCTAAAGAGTTTCCTCTTCTGTTGCCTGTTTTAAATAACCCATAGCTGGTGGTTTTAAATTACAGAAATTGTGTTTTGGAGCTGAGCATGTTGGTGCACACCTGTTAACCCCTCGTACCTGGTCGTTGGGGTGGGGGAGAGTCAGGAGGACAAGGCCATCTGTGGCTATAAAACTAGTAGCAAATTGCTTTGAAATAATCTAGTTCTTAAGTTAACCCAGAAATTGATGAACAAGTACATTATAATTTTTAAGTCTTGCCAAAGCCATTATCAGCTGTGGCCCTTGCATTGCCAAGGTCCTCAAAGATAATTCAGTATATGTTTTTACTGTGATGAGCAGAGCTCATTATACACCATGATGGCAAGGTGACAGAGTGACACAAAGGAGGGGGTGACTTTCTTTTTTGCAAGCGAGAAAAGAAAGCTAATTACAAAAGCCAGCCGTGGTGGCTCATACCTGTAATTCCCGCACATGGGAGGCAGAGACAGAAAGACTGTTGCATGCTTTAGGCCACTTGGGTAACGTTGTGAGTTCTAGGCCAGCCTAGACTATAGAGTATGACCTTGCTTCAAACAAAACCAAATGCAATAATTGACATAAAAATTCTATGAAAGTGTGTATCAGGAATGACAAACAATTCTACATGACGTCATCACTGTGGGTGTATTGGTCTTCTAGCCACACCAGATGTCTCTCCCAACCTTTTGTGTTGAGCAGAAGGAGGAGTTGCAGGCTAGGGTCTGGGTGCTGGGCACTGAGTGCTGTAAAGCCTCAGGGGCTTAGGGGGTCCCCAGGGCATTGAGGCAGTTCTTCCAAAGCCTCTGACTTTTTTTTTTCCTTCTTCTTTTATTTTCTTGAGACAAGGTCTCACCCTGTAGCTCAAGCTGACCTAAAAATTACTGTGTATCCCAAGCTGGCCTTGAACTTGAGCAGTCCTCTTGCCTCCGCCTCCAAAGTTCTGGGATTAGAGGGTGTGCCACCACTTCTACCTCACTGCTTCTTTAGCGGGACTGAGGGATAGCGAGCACCTGGCTTAGTAGTCTGTAGCTAGTGGAGTTGGCCAGGATGGTCAAGGGCTGGTTGACAGGGTGGTTTCGGAGAAGTGTCTTGATTGTGTTACAGTCTTCCTTGATTATGGCCTCATAAAGTTTCCAGTGCACTGCAGTGGCCAGGCTTTCCTCCAGCAACATGGTACTGTCAGCCACCAGGTCTCTGCTTCCCCTCTTGGTTATGTTTCCCATGAGGAAGTCGTTAGAGCAAGGGCTGAAAGGTGAGGGGATGCTGCTGTGGTCAGCTTTGTCGCTTATGATGGTGACCCCTTCCGCTCAGTTCTAGAACTGTTCTAGAATTGTATTTGTCAACAGAATCCATTTCTTTCTTTCTTCTTTTTTTTTTTTTGTTGTTGTTGTTGTTTGTTTGTTTGTTTTAAGACAGGTTTTCTCTGTGTAGCCCTAGCTATCCTGGAACTCTATGTAGACCAGGCTCGCCTCAAACTCGGAGATCTCCCAGCCTTTGCCTCCCAAGTGCAGGGACTAAAGACATGTGCTGAACCCATTTCTGTTCTCTGCTGCAGCCAGCCCTCAGGAGGCTTCGTCCCCTTGTTGTATAGTACCAAGTGTGGGCAGAGTCTCTCAGCTTTCTACTCACTTATTTTTTAAAACCACCCAAAGTGGCATCCTATAGCTAAAATCATTTCTCCTTCCCTTACAACTATCATTAAATCTCACAGGGACAGTGAGATGCCTAGAAGTAAAATGCCTACCACCAAGCATGACTACCTGAGCTCTCTCCTGGGGGTCTGCATGATGATACAAGCTGTCCTCTGACCTCCATCCTCATGCCATGGTGTGTATGCATGCACACACAGTTTAAAAAAAAAAAAAAAACTCTTAGCAGGACCAAAACAGATTAAGACAGATGCTAATAAAGAAGTGAATTAGTGTAAGACTGCAACTTTTAATATTTGCTTTAATTTTAGGAAAATCTTTTTACTAGTGAGATGGTAGTGTTGCTGTTGCTGTTATTTGAAACAGTCTCATCTAGCTCTGGCTTGCTTCAGACCTGCTCTGTAGCTTGAACTTCTGCTCTTACCTCTACCTCTCCAGCTGCTGATTGCAGATGTATGCTACTTCACACATTACTAGAATTAGAATGCAGGTCTTTGTTGATGCTGGGCAAGCACTCTGCCAGCTGAGCCACATCCTCTACCCCTTTAAGTTTTAAATGATTTTCAATTCAAATTTGTTCCTGAGGGGCCAGCTTTCTTACTTTGGTGTGTAACTGTACATATGTTGTGCTCTGTGTGTTAGTGTGTCAGTGTCAGAAGAGGGTTTTACATGTACTCTATCACTCCCTACTTTATTCCATTATTATCACCATCATTTATTACAGTTTATTCAATTTGTATCCCAGCTGTGGCCCCATCCCTAGTCTCCTTCCTATCCCCCCTCCCTCCCTCCCTCCCTCTTCTCTCCCTATGCCCCTCCTCTAGACCACTGATAGGGGAGGTCCTCCTCCCCTTCTATTTGGCCCTAACCTATCTGGTCTCATCAGGACTGGTTGTCTTGTCTCCCATGGAATTTTAGGAAAAAAGGGGGAGATGGAAAGACCTGGAGGGGACAGGAGGTCCACAAGGAGACCAACAGAGCCAAAAAACAAAACAAACAGAAAAACCTGAGTGCTGGGGGCTCTGAAGAGAATGATACCCCAACCAAGGACAATGCATGAAGAAGACCTAAAACCTAAAACCCCAGCTCAGATGTAGCCCACAGTCTCAGTCTCCAAGTGGGGTCCCTAGTAAGGGGAGCAGCGCTTTCTCTGCCATGGACTTGGTAGCAAGCTCTCTGATCACTGGCCCCTGCCCTGTGGGTGCAGCCCTGCCAGGCCACAGAGCTTTATTCTCTTGATGCAGTCTGTCTCACTGAACCTAGAGCTGGGAGGCTGACAGCCAGCAAGCCGCAGGGATCCTCCTGTGTCTGTCTGTCCTGTGTGTACTGGGGTTCAGGCACTCTAGCTTTTTACTTGAAGGCTGGAGACCTGAACTCAGCCCCTCATGCCTGCACAGCCAACACTCTTACTCACTGAGCCACCTCCTTAGCCCAACAACTTTTGTTTGTTTGAAATGGGGTTTTGTTTTATAGTCCTTGATGATGTGAACCAGACTGGCACATGTTCACAATAATCCTCTTGCCTCCGCCTCCCACGTTCTGTCATTGCAGGTGTGAGCCTTCATGCTTGGTGCTGAACAGTGCTTAACATAAGTTTCCAGTTTTTATTTTAAGAAAACTGAGTTGACTTTTCCTTCTTATTTGTAGCCTAGAAACATTTTTCTTCATGGCCCTGATCAGCAAGTAAAAATAGGAGACTTTGGTCTGGCTTGTGCAGACATTATACAGAAGAGTGCAGATTGGACCAACAGAAATGGGAAAGGTAAGGATTTATTTGCTCACTTATTTTGTTTCTTTTTGCATTGAAGGGGGGGGGTAGCTGAACGTGTCTTTGCTTAGAGAATCTTAGAACTTTCACAGCAAAGCTCAGATGAGGCCAGAAGTTCCTTCAGGAGCTGCAGTGCGCAACGGCCTTTTCAATTGCAGGAACGCCAACACATACATCGAGAGTGGGCACTTGTCTGTATGCGTCACCTGAGCAGCTGGAAGGATCTGAGTATGATGCCAAGGTAGTGTTTGCTTTCGCCCTTTCCTCAGTTTGTCAAGGGACTAGAACACATAGAACAGTAGGTGCAGTTCTGTGGCAGAGGTGCTCTGGCATAGCCGAGTCCTGCAGGGGGCCTGTCACATCAGACCATCCCAGTAAGGACATCCCCAGGCTGGAAAGCTGGCTTGACCATTGAGACTGCTCCTTGCTCTTTCAAGAGTACCCAAGTTTGGTTCCCAATACTAACGTGACAACCCAGAATCACCATGTCTCCTGCTCCAGGGACACGCGGATCCAGTGCCCTCTCCTGGCTTTGGAGGCACCTATACTCAATGTGCGTGTATTCTCGTGTACACACGCACACAAGGAAAATGGAAAAAGATTTCCCTTTTCAACCAACTGCATGTGTATTGCCCTTTAGGCTACGTGACTATTTCAAAATCCTTGGGCATCATTAAATGTTGAAGTCAGCCTTCCCTTTAAAATGTCACCATTCACCTCAGGAAGCTAGACTTCATGGCGTCTCTTCAGCCTTTTATTCTTCTGACTGCTAGCTCAGGTAAACAAATGGTTCTGGGAAGTATGCCACCCACTCCTTGAAAGAGTGTGAGGACACTGTAAGGCTTTTAGTCCCTCTTTATTCCTTAAAAACATGTAAAAATAGCTAAAACCTTCAGCTTTTTCCTCTAGTGCTTCACTGGCTTTTCTTTTTTGTGGTGCTGAGGATTGAAACCAGGGCCTGAATGTGCTGGTCAAGTGCCACACCACTTGTGAAAGTCCCAGACACCTCTCACCTGAGGCAGATGCCTGCTTTTGAGGCATGAGACACCCTGCTGTTCCCTTCTTTGGGGACCTGCTGTAAAGCCTCATTCCTGGACAGCCTTACTTTGAGAGGATACACTGTTAGGGTTGTGCTTCCCAGTGTAACCGCCTTTTCCTCCTCTGCAGTCAGATATGTACAGCTTGGGTGTGATCCTGCTTGAGCTATTTCAGCCATTTGGGACAGAAATGGAGCGAGCAGCCGTCTTGACAGGCCTGAGGACTGGTCGGATACCCGAGTCCCTCAGTAAAAGGTGTCCCGTGCAAGCCAAGTATATCCAGCTCCTAACCGGGAGGAACACATCACAGAGACCGTCTGCTCTTGAGCTACTGCAGAGCGAACTTTTTCAGACAACTGGAAATGTAATGTTTCCTATTTTAGTACTTACTGAATGTTTGCTTTAGGTTGGGTTTGATCCCAAGATCCTCCTTGCTTATTTATTTGCTTACTTATTGACAGTCTCACACTGTAGCCCCGGTTAACCCTGAACTCAGAGCAATTCTTTCTCAGTCTCCTGAGTGCCGAAATTGCAGGTTTGAGTCATCAACTCCCAAGAGTTGTAGATAAGCTTCTTTCAGTTGGCTCACAACTCTTATGAGGCTGACATTGCTAATCTCCCTTTCCCAGATGAGGAAGACAAGACTGAAGGAAGTTGATGCGTCACACAGACAGTAACAGACACTGTTACTGCTAATTGAGAACAGACCCCTCCACAGGGCTGTCCTCTGACCCCTACATTGGTCCATGCCATGTGCACCTCCCCCATCCATAAGCACACACCTCATAAAAGATCAAAATAAAACCCTCTCCTATATTGAGGGCAGACTATTTCACACCGCAGAATGGCTTCAAAATAATTTTAAGTACAAATCTTTAAACCAACATCCTTGTTTCACAGTCACCAGTGAATCTAACATTTTTTTTCCCTCTCATTCTAAGGAAAACTTGAAGCCCAAAATAGAATTTGTTTCTGTTGCAAATTCCATTTCACAAATCTTTGAGTCTTGGGGTTTATGAAAACAAAATAGTTAAACCTTACTCATAGTTCCCTAAGAGTTTCAGATACTGAACTTACACAAACTATGTAGGTGTATCCATAGTCCAGGAAGCAACAGCACACTGCCAACAAGCTGTTCTAAATTTAGTGTGGCCTACAGTTTCTTTTCTGTCCTCATATCAGTCAGGAGAAACATTTTATTCTTTCCTTGCTAACCATGGATTTTCCTAAATGATTTGTACTTAAGTACTCGGTAGTAAAAAAAGGGGGGGGGCAGTGATTTTAAGCAGGAATGGGTGGTAGGGACGGCCTCTGCACAGCTTTCAGCATGCCACTGTCTGAAGCTGGCTCTCCTACCATATGGCTGTGTTGCCAAGGTCGTGTCTCCTCCGCATGTGGACACAGTAGGTGATCCATCCTTTTCTTGCTTTAGAAACCTAAGGTTTCATTAAAGGTTGATGCAAAATATATCCTTTAGTAAGCCTAGCCAGCCTTGACATTACAACAGAAGTTTATATACATAGTTTACACTTGGGAACCATGGAATCGAGTTACAAATGTGTATATTTGAGTATATATACATACACATACATCATGTTTTACCTAGGTTACGGTTCTGTGTTGGGCCACATTCATAGCTACCCACAGCCTCGCATGCTCAGTCACATGTGACCCCTAAATTGGTCCTGGATGCCTAGTGCTTTGCTACTCAAAGATGGTCTCTAGACCAGCAGCAACCAGGAATCTGCATTTGAGCAGGATTTCAGGTTATGCTCAGTATTAGAATAGCA